CTCCTCGTCGCCGCGTCCTCCCTCGCCGTCGCTCTCTCGGGTACGTACGTACGCACCTGCAGTGCATGTGCATGCATATGCGTCGCCGCCGGCCGGCCGGAGTACAACTGAATTATTGCATGCTGACACCGGCATGATCGAATGCATGGTGGCATGAACGACGTACAGATGGCGGCGCGACGTTGTTCAGTTACGAGGTGGGGAGCCCCGACGGGCCGCAGAACTGGGGGAAGCTGAGCCTGGCGTACAAGGCGTGCGGGCAGGGGAAGCAGCAGTCCCCGATCGACATCGTCACCAAGCAGGCCGTCCCCAACGCCCACCTCGACTCCCTCAACCGCACCTACAGCGCCGTCAGCGCCACGCTCATCAACGACGGCCACGACATCACGGTATGCTTGGACGATGTTCTTCTCTGATGGATGGTTTGGATTTGATCGATCCTACTAGCTTGCCGGATTCATGAATGCATGCAGCTGGAGTTTGGGGGCAAAGTTGGGACGATAACCGTGAACGGCAAGGTGTACAACTTCGACAAGATGCACTGGCACTCGCCGTCCGACCACACCATCAACGGCCAGAGGTTCCCGCTGGAGCTCCACCTCGTCCACAAGAGCGCCGACGGCGCGCTCGCCGTCATCGGCATCCTCTACCAGCTCGGCGCCCCTGACTCTTTCTACTACCAGGTAGCGAGGAATCTAGTCTAGGATACACACACATGAATTGCACCTCCATCGATGACGAACATGAACATTGATTGATCAATGATCACGCATATGCAAATGCAGCTGAAGCGGCAGCTTGTCGAGATGGCCAACGACCAGTGCCACTTCGGCGAGGAGGAGTCGCACGTGGAGGTGGGGCTCATCCACCTGCGCTCGATGCAGAAGCGCACCGGCAGCTACTTCCGGTACACGGGCTCCCTCACCGTGCCGCCCTGCACCGAGAACGTCGTCTGGAGCGTCCTGGGGAAGGTGAGGCAGATCAGCAAGGAGCAGCTGGAGCTGCTCAAGGCGCCGCTACCCGGGAACGACAACCGCCCCACGCAGCCGGTCAACGGCAGGAAAGTCCAGTTCTACAACCCGCCCAACAGCACCATCTCCTTCCAGATGTAATGTGATGTAACAAACTCGATCCATCGTTCATGATGTGAAGTAGATATATATATGTGCATGGTTGCTCATTGCCTATACATTGGTGTAATATTTGTGACAGTAGTGTTGAATAGGTTTAATTAATTTGTAACACGTCAATGTATGTCTAGTCTACCTCTCAGTTTGTAATTTGAATATTTTTTTTAAAAAAAAATAGAGACACTGAGAAGTATCTCAAATCTGATATCTATTATAAGTAAAACAAGATATATACTTTGGCAAACAATGACCAATAAAAAAGAAAAGTACAAAGAGGCCCTTTGAGGTCATCTTCTTCTTCCTTAAAAAACATGTTGCTCGCTGGAGATTGAAAAACACACCGTAGAGGTAGTACATACAAATTTTCCCTACCATTGATGACCAAAGAAGCCACTCGCCGCTCATAACAAGATCTTGAAACTGCTAGAAGAGAATTGGCTGGGGTTACACCCAAAATAACGAATGCTTATTTTCCAGTACTACCAACTACAGACGGTAGAAGCTCTTGAAACTTGTTGCAGGAATTGAACGAAGAAGTGAGAAATCGTTACTTCCGTTTGGCATTGAACAATGCTAGACTCTATGAATAGGCTAGCAAAAACTAAAACTTTAGATCTGCAGAACTTTTGCCTGACTAGTCTATCGGTGTCAATGGAAGGAGCGTCGTCAATTAAGGTGCACAAGAGCCCGGAGGATGTTATTCCAGTGCGAAATTGGTGTCACTACCTCGCTAATCTCACGTCTCACCATGGAAACACCAAAGCCACCTACATCTCTATTGTCATCGGAGAGAAGGGACCACCAGACCTCGATGTCGAAAGAATCCACATGTGGTCACTACTGAAAAGTAGCAACGGATAGATTCCTCCATATGTGCTCTTGTAGTCCAACAAAGGTACGCCATGTCCAGCCCTTCGTCCTATGTTCTTCCTTCGAGCTTCTTTGGGAGAAACCCTCTTTCTAGGAGAAAGCCTTCCCCATACACCTTTCCTTCGTAGACAAGATGTTGCATGAGAGGTATCCAGTGCCGGCCCTAAGGGGAGGGCACGGGGTGCGACGGCCGAGGGCCAGGCGGGGGAGGGGTCCAAGCCCAGGTATACAAACCCCCAAGCCCTATAGTCCAATAGGCATCATTAGCAAACTAATGAGAAGATAGAAGACAGGCAGAGAACTGACCAGGCGGCCCAAGAAGACGACGTCGGCCTTTCTTTCCCAGGCAGAGAGGAGGCGAGGAGCCACGCCGCACACTCTGATCGTGACTCGCGAGTGCGTGACGCGTCGACGCACGCACGCAGGGCCTGCAAGCCGCCTTGGAGAGCTGGACTGCCGGAGACATGGACACGGCGCACGACGGCAACGACCAGGCAGGGCTCCACAACGACGACATCTTGATTCCTGCCTTCTTGCAAATTGCGATCGCCGATCAGTTGTTTCAGTTCATGTCTAGGCCCTAGGTATATTTTCCTTGTTCATTTTTAATCCAAATTAATTATTTGTATAGTATTCCAAATTTCTAGTATTTTGTACTCATATAGTCATGTTTTTCTTCTAATTTAAGTGTTTGATTAAAAATATATTATTGATTAATTTCGCTTTACAAGTAAAATTAACATATGTATATTATAAGATTTTAGAGGGGGCCGTTGCGATGAGTTCGCTGAGGGCCCTCAAAGTCTTAGGACCGGCACCGGACTTATCAAAAGAAGATCCATGAAGATGAAACCACTCTAGATCTAAGAGCAGCCCAATTGTTCCAACGTGTATGGTAGTCCCAAGCTCCATATCTTCACTGAATGTCCAATAGACTCAACTAGTGTCTTCGCGAAGTGTCAAAGTGGTCTATAGGAGCACCAAGTGCTTGGTCTAACAAAATAACAAAACTATTACTAGAGGGAGTGTTGTGGTGGAAAAGTAGAACCCTTCTAACTCATAGAGGCAGAAAAGCTAAAATACTGAACTAGTTGTTCACATCACATAGTGTTAAACATTGCCTGGGATGGAAGAATGAATGGCTCACCACCTTCCTTGTCTAGATGGACTCCACCTTTTAGCTTTTCCAGAGCAATCTAGAATGTGTCCAAGACTCACAAGAGAACAAGCAAGAGCTAGGAATCAAAGTCTACCTTGCTTTTTTGTGAGATTATTAACCACTCTATCTGTGTCTATGCCAATTTTAACAAAAGTAGAATGCAACATATTCATCGTGGTCGTAACTGAAGTCCGCTATGTGTACATGCCAATTTTATGTATATATGCTTACCTTGGTCAAGCCCTAAGGCACGTTGTACTAAAGTCCGCTATGTGTACATGCCTAGTCAAGCCCTAAGACACGCTGCCACTTTACCTTTTCTTGGGCAGATAAAGCCATTAGGACTCCTTCAATCAATTACCACCAACAAAACGTATCCTATGGTAAGATTGTTGCTTCTTGTGCCCTCTCGATAAATATGCTATCCGATTCAAAAAAGCGACTAGCACCCGGACGGACGCCTTCTCCGAAAGCCCTGCGGCTACTGTGTTTCCCCTTAGGGCTGGCGACGACGCAGAGGATGGGTGGGCACACGACAGCAGTGCACAGATGACAAGAGCACGTGCGTTTTGGGACAAAGCGTCCGGGCGCGGAGGATCTCGACGGCAAAGTGGAGCTCGCTAGCGATGCGGAGCTCTGTAGCGTGTAGAAGGCATCGCCGCACGGAGCTAGGCGACGATGCGCAGAGGGCAGGATGGGACGCGACGATGGCGTAGAGAACGGGAGGGGGAGGACGATAGTGGCGGCATGCAGAGGATGTTGGCTTCCGTAGGGACGCCCTTGGGGCCCACCGCTGCAATATCGGTGATGTACTAATGAAACATGCCTAGATTACTATTGAAACATGTATACAATATCGTTGCCGCAACATCGGTAATGTACTACTGAAACATGCCCAGATTACTGTTGAAACATGTATAATCGTTGTTGCAACATCCGTAAACACAACACCTGCAAGGCTGCAACATGCTCTCTAAACACTTGAAACAATTGAAACATAAGCTTGCAACATAGGCTTTCAGAGCAATATCTCCTTGCAACACAACACCTGCAACATGCACCTAAATCACCTGCAACATACGCTCGAAACACTTGAAACATTCAAAACATAGGCTTACAACATAGGCATTTTAGAGCAACATCTCCTTCTGCTTGGACGAACGGAGGCTCATCGGCACGTAGAGCTTGTTGGAGGTGCGTGGACGTCGCCGGTGGCATGGATCTCAGTGGCGTGGAGCTCATAAGCAACGCGAATCTCAGGGGCGCGCAAAAAGGCAACGCCACACGAGCCCGCAATTTGGACAATGGCGCGCATAGGGCAGGTAGGGGCGGGCGCGATGACGCAGAGGGCGGGTGAGGGTGGCGACAGCGGCGTTCAGACGACATTCAGACCACACGTGTATTTCGGAACAGCGCGGCGTATCATTATCGAAAAAACAAGGTGTTATTTTAGCCCCTTTTTTTTGCATGGATTGTTGGTTCTTAATTGTAGTCTGTGGACAAGTATGCTATCCGATTAAAAAGGGGTGCCATTTTAACTTTTCTTCTTCTTCTTTATGTGAGACAGCAAAGTTATCGGCAAAATTATCCAAAACTGAAAAATTCTGACAATCATTTAAGTACAAAAGAGCGAACAACATGTATCCAACTCAGAAAACAAAAACAGATCAACCAAAACTTGCCAAACCAAATCTCAATTTCAAATCCAATTTCAAGAAGAACTATGTACACAGCTCAACTACACGTCTACTAAAGCACAGCAACAACCAAACCGAAAGCCACGCCCCAACTACCCAGGCCTACACGGGCGGCCTGCCTACCTGTCCCTGCGCCTGCACGCGCTACAACGGGCCAGATGTCGCCACGCGTCCGTCGCCGTCCATCTCGGCCGCCCACTCCGCGGCCCGCCTCCCGGACGCGAACCGCCGCATCCCACCCAGCCCCGGCGCCGCCGCCGACGCAGCCTCCACCTCCTTCGTCTCCCTCCGCCTGGCCGTCTCAACCACGGGCGGCAGCGGCGGGGACTGGTCGACGCACTCGACGCTGTTCCTGGACCTGTTCCGCCGCATAAAGAACGCAAGCCCGCCGCAGCACCCGCCCCCGTCCCCGCGCGCGGCCTCGGCGGGCGGCCGAGGCGCGCACGCTCGCGGTCGGAGAGCACCTTCCCGATGCAGGACACCTTGGGCGAGCGGGCCCGGGACGGCGGCCCTGGCGCGCGCCCGCCGCCCCCGTCTTGGCCTTCTTGGGGAAGATGGCCGGCGGGGCGGGTGGTGCCGCCCCCGCCCACCGCCCTGGCCGAGCTTCCCCGAGAGGCCGATGATGGGCGCCGCCGTCGGCTTGAGGTTGCCCGAGAACCGCTGCGAGGCGCCGTTGTTGGCGCCGGGGTGGTTCTTGAGGAGGCACTTGGGGTTGGTGTTCTCCTTGAGGGAGTCGTCGCGGTCGTACACGCCGCTGATCTCGGACCACGCGATCTCGTCGCCGATGCGCAGGCGCGTGGACTCCGCCGGGTCGCCGACGCGCGAGGCGGCGGCCATGAGAGCAAGGGAGCGAGGGAAAGAGAGGCGGACACGAGATTGGAAAGAGAGGAAATCTCTCCGTCTCCGGCGTGCGCGTGGGGGTTTTAAGGAGTTCTTTGGCTGACTCGTTGAGATTGATGTGATTGGGGCGGCTGCCAATTTTTCTCCTTGCTCCGTTCCGTGGGCCTGGTCTATAAACGAGTACTCCTGGTCCTGGGTCTCCAACCTTTTTTTCCCCAATAAAACAAATAAACAATGGCGCGGACGCTCAATTCTCACCTTTGACCTTGCTGTGCGGTGAATATGTTTGTACTCATATATTGCAAAGCCATTGGATATGTCACTGTGGAACTCCGGCAGGACATAAACCATGATCCACGTTATCTATTCTACCCACTCCGTTCAAAAATAGATGACATTTTTTACTTTTAGATATCATAATCGACTATTTGTCTTATTCAATTTTCTAAATAATAAAATGAGTAAATTATTATTAAAGTATCTCTAATGATAAATAAGTCATAAAATAAATGATATTTATACAAAGATTTTGAATAAGACGAATAGCCCACCAAAATATCTAAAAGTCAAAAACATCATCTATTTTAGGACGGAAGAAGTATATCTTATATCTGTATCTATATCTATATCTATATCTATCTGTTAGTTATCTATATTTATATCTATCTATAACTGATATTGAAGAGACAAAACTAGTCCTCCATTTTTTGTCCATCACCATTCTCTCTCTTACCTTGGTCGTCGTCTCTCACTCCAAATTGTTCATCACTCTTCAGCCTGTTCGCTTGCTCATATCTGACTTATAAGTTATGGCTTATCAGCCAACGAATAGTATTTTTCTCTCACACCAAATCAGCCAACAATACTTTCAGCCATGACTTATAAGCTAAACCAGCCCAAACGAACAGAGCAGCTCTGATGAGACGACGCCTCCTTCGTGAATCGTGATGGTGGTCATCCGTACACACACAGAGACGCTCGCTCGTGATGCACATGACCTGATCGTCTGTGTCCACCTCATATGCGAGCACGAACAATCGCACATGGTGCCCCTACAGATGGTGGACTAGAAGATGGTGTTTTCTCGAAGAATTAGGCCCTGTTTAGATTCCACCCAAAATCCAAAAATTTTCAAGATTCTTCGTCACATCAAATCTTGCGGCAAATGCATGAAACATTAAATGTAGGTAAAAAGAATAACTAATTGCACAATTTACCCGTAATTGGCGAGACAAATCTTTTAAGCCTAAATAGTCCATAATTAGATAATTTTTATCAAATACAAACAAAAATGCTACAATAGCCAAAAGTAAAAAAATTTCGCATCGGGGCCTTAGCGAGAGCACACTACACTACGCATTGGGTGGTTGGTCCTGGCAGTACTGACGCCTAGCGCTGGGGGTGCAGGCGTGCCGCAGCCGTTTCCGTTCGCCGTTTGGAGCGACTGGAGGCACGCCAGCCAGCACTGACACTGGAATTCGCCGCGGTTTCAGGGCACCGGCCTTTTGACCACCTTGGACTGACCGGAGTAGTAGTGCTGCTGGCTGCTGCTGCCTCTTCACATGTTCCTCTTCCAGTCAAGAGCACGATTGGCTACCTGGCTACCTGCTACGGCCGTCGCTCGCTTCCCCTGCAAGGCTTTCAGTCCCTGGCTGAACTGACTGAACAGCAACATGTGAAGATTATATTGTCCGTCTCCAGCAGGTACAGCTTGACGGCCACAGGTGACCGCCGAGTCTCAGCCTGCTAGTACCAGATTTTGGACCATGACACTGTCAAATATAATCTTCCAGATTTTGTCAAAGGAGAAACTGTATTATGCATGGACATTCCTCGCATCTCTGCTCTGGACTTGGCCCATGAAAGCTCACAGGAACGGCATTGCGAATAGTACGTCGTCGCCTGCCGCGCTGGATGCTTGTACTGTACAGCTTGTTTTTCAAAAACATTTTTAAACAATTTGATAACTAATACGTATACACAAACAAATATCGTTAGATAACAGTAGATTAATTTTTTTTACAATAAATATATTTAGCGATATAAATGTTTTGAGACAGAATTCTTTTTGCATGACGGGCACCTGGTAGGGCAACCACGAAATTATTTGACCAGTAAGCAATTTAACGGCTGAGTATTTGTGTTGTGACCGAAGGAACACAGATACAAATGACTGTGCCGATCCTGGATCACGTCGGCAATGTAACCTTGTGTGCACAGCAGCAGGCTTCCATTGACTTGTTCCTGAACCTGAAAGTAAAAACTTTACCTCACTTTTGGGTGGTCACATTCACGGATTCAACTCTTGCTTTGCTGGCTCAGTCGGTCCCTCTGCAGCCCAGTTTCTCATGATCTGAACATTCGCTGACACTTAACTTTCCGCCCGCATCCTCTTCAACCACAAGCTGCGATCGTTAGCCCGTTGGCACGCTAAAATTTTACATCCTGTCACATCGAATATTTAGACACATGCATAAAGTATTAAATATGGACTAAAAAATAACTAATTGTATAGTTCATGACTAATTTGCGAGACAAATCTTGTAAGCTTAATTAGTCTATAATTTGACAATAAAGTGCTACAGTAACATATGTGCTAATAACAAATTAATTATGCTTAATAAATTTGTCTCGTGGTTTACTGACGGATTCTGTATTTTTTTTTATTAATATCCGAATATCACATCCGATACCTCATATAACATCCGATGTGATACGAAGCTTCACAGACGGCCTTACTCTGACGGATATACTACTGGTAGTTTGGAATTTCGAGGAGAGAAAAAAAATATGGCTGCTGGTAGTCTGGTACTAGCATGCATGCATGAGTGCGTAAGACAAGACAGCAGCACACAGCAGCAGGAAGCCTGATTTGAAAAAGTAAACTGAATAATCCTATTCCACTGGCGATTCAAACAAAGCAAATCCTCATTCCTACCCAGCTAGCTGGCCGGTTTGAATGTTTGATATGGTCGTCAACGGGTCGGTCATCTTTTGGCCTTTAGCAGCCGCCTGCCACCCCCAATAAAGAGAACACACACACAGGCAAAGGCCAAACTTTCTACACGCATGAAGAATCAAAGCAAAAGTGAATCAGAGTATCGTCATCATCATCATTAAAAAAGGACCCCATCGGTACGCAGGACAAATGGAAGCCAAAAAGCATAGAAGCTTCTTCGCGACATATATACAAAATATGTAGGTATTCCCTTCGTACTTAAATATCTATCGTTTTCACTTTAAAAAATCAACTTTTGACTAAATATATATTAAAAAAATATTAATATTTATGATACATAATTAGTATCATTGGATAGATATTTGAATCAGTTTTTTAATAAATTTATTTGGAGATAGAAATATTGTATGCATTCTCTATAAATCGAGTCAAAATTATCGATGCGCAAATCGTGACGATAAACACTTAGAGACAGAGGAAGTACTCCTTACCTGGTTTTGTATATTCTCTATAATCGCTACACTGCGAGCCTACGGTACCCTCCGGAGTTTCTAGAACCACAAGGCTTGTCAGACAAACCTCCGAATTTCTGTTTGTTCAGAGAATTTCTACTTGCCAGAGAACCTCGGAATTGCAGTTTAGACTTTGATTACTGATATTTCAATAATATTTATTTATTTATTTAAATACTTTTTGTCACCACAATTTATTTTAATTAAAGTGCTTCACAACAATCATTTGGTCATATGTTTGTGAGAGAGCTTTAATTGACAATCACGTTAAAAGGATAGCCCAAATTGTCAATTATTTGCAAACTAAAGAAGTACGCCGTCTATTTTTTTTTTCAAATTTCCTTTTGAAGTTGTATAGTTGATTTATCATGGTAAATAGTGCAGTTGGATCATAGTAATCATTTTCTATGGTTGCTCAAGGAAAAGAGAACACGGCAAAAGAAATTTAACTTAAGTTTTGATGGAAGTGATTCATTTGTGCTCTTGACATAATACTCCCCTCTGGTATACCCTTATTAAATATACCAAACTCTAAGAACATATTTTATTAATGGAAGCGTAAATTTCTCTTTATATATTTTATCATCAAATTAATTGTAAGTATTGTTCCTGTAGCGTTAGCATGGTAAATAGTGCAGTTGGATCATAGTAATCATTTTCTATGCATGTTTGAAAGAAGGTACCGATACTGGTGTCATTTGGTTGGATTATACTGTTTGTTCTAAAAAGTATCCAATTCTAAAATAGCAAAAGTCAAACGATTTAAAGTTCAACTAATTTACACATAAGTATCATTAATTTCCTTATGGAATACTGTGTTTTTTATAGTATGCTTATTAAGAGTCATACATAAACAATATTTTCTGCGGATTTAGTTGAACACAAATTAATTTGACCTTGACCGCACTTAGAATTCACATTAGTAAAGGTGTCGGGGTTATAAACCGTGGTGTTTCAAGGCACCGATTAGTTAGCAGGCCACGTGGCCCACAATACACTAGCTAGCGAAAGCCCAAACGACCGAGGCCCGACAAAGCCAAGCAAGCTAGGCCAGACGATAAGGCCAAGGTCAGCCACGACCCCTCCTTCATGCCTTAGCCACACGGCGCTAGAAAGGCGCATGACCTCTCCCCCGTCACGACACCTGGAAGGAACGGGGAGAGGTCAAGCCTAGCCAAGCATGTATATTCTGACAAGAACAGGCACTCCGCAGTAACCCTGTAAGGACCGAGGGGACAACAGTTATCTCGGTCCGGTCAGGCGCCATTCTTGTGCCACGCCCCACAGACAAGACAATACCGCCCAAAGCGCTGACGACAGGTACGATGACACCGGCCAGATACGGCCCGACGAGACAAGAGTATGATCCTGCCCACTATGGGATGGGATCCACAACGAGGGCCTTAACTCAGAGGACATCCAGGATGGCGGGAACCACGATCCGGCCGCTCGCTCCTCAAGACAACAAGGCAATCAACGACCCAGGGGCGGCCACCAACTCCTGTACGATGCCTCAGGAAACCAGGAGACAATGACAAAGACCACGGCGGAGACCACGTCGCACAGGACGGCTGGCGAACCACCATCGTGCCTAAAGTGCCACCATGGCCGGCACAGAAGCACCACGCCACGCCATGCCATGATGTGGCCATAAGACCATGACGACAGCCACGCCCGGACGTACTCCACAAGACGGCGTATCTTGCAAGCAAAGTTAGCTAGGACCTCCCTTAGGCTCACGACCCTTCAGTCGGGAGAACCTATTGCTTTGTATGCACCCTAGCCCCAAACTCTATTAAGGGCTGCTAGGGCACCCATCTCGACAAGGTTCACATCCTCTACCGTTTCATTCATTCTCCATCGTAGTAGGGCTCCTGGAG